GTTAATCAGGTCTTCACAGGCCCTCGCCACAGCCCTGTTGCTGTTTCCTCTGTGTTTAATGAAGATGTCGAAGATGCAACGTCCTCCTCGGCTCGGTGTCGGAGCTGAGTAACAGTGGATTTATTGTTCCCCTAAGGAATCACAGTAATAAACAGCAGCCTCAGCTGCAGTAAACAGCCATTACATCCTCTGATATTTAGCTTTGTAGTAAATGGACAAAGGACCTGGGGCAGCTCAGAGACCATTATCCTGATTTACTGTTCAGTAAAACTGCTCACCATCAGTTCAGAGTCACCTTGTGCTGCACTGGTGTTTCTGACTGAAGACAAAGACGTGGACGCTGCTACTGTGTGTCACACGCTGCATTAACACAAAACTTATTTCAGGCCTGGAACTTAAATACAACTTTGTATTTAGTTAGGAGTTGTTTTTGTCTTTATTCTATAACCGAGTCATATGGAGCCATGTGGTCAGCCAGTCAGCGGACAGGACAAACGAGAGCCTGGAAACAATGACCTGCATTGTGAAATTGGAGTAAGATCAATGAAGTCCAGAGGCAGCAAATCAGGCATACTGCTAATGAGGCGCCTGCTGTAAATCCAGGTGTTCCTAGGATCACAGCTGGGCCCAGTTACAACACCGAAGGCTTTGTGAGCGAGTGACCTTTTGGGCCACAGCATACTGTGAATGAAACAGCAGTCACCTTCAGTTTCAGGTGTGTTGGGGAGGCAACAGTGATGCGGTGGGTAGAGCAGTTGTCTCCCAACCAGAAGGTTAAATTTCAAATCTCCAAACATAATTTTGTTGTACATGTTACAATAAATAAAGCTTCTTCTTAACAGCCGTAGCGGTCAATGGTGTGAGCAGAGTCGTATAGCAGTTTGTCACATGATGTAATCAGTGAAAGCAGTTGAAGTGTCAGTGAAAGAGCAGGTGTGGACGTGATGTCAGCAGCTTTAGGCTGACTGATGTAATGACAGGTTCAATTATTCATTTAGATTAGAATCTGTGTGAGGTCGTCATCTCGTTAACATTCAGAGCTCGTTACAGCTCAAGTGCCTGAAAATGAAAAGCCTCGTTAAGACTGAGCTCATTAAGATTCAAAGATCATTAAGACTTAAACACCACATTTGAGTCTTTACTTTTCTTTATGGTTTACAGCCTATGTGTGTTTCAATTCTCGTGCACACAGGCCTTGTCCTCCAGCTTCAAGTCTGTAGATTTGTTTGTATAACGATCTGGAGAACGTATGGTTTATTTTTTTGTGTGTGTGTGTGTGTGTGTGTGTGTGTGTGTGTGTGTGTGTGTGTGTGTGTGTGTGAAGCAGCTGATATCTTGCCATTATAATGCCATTAGATCACCTGCACAGACTCTACCTTGCTGCTGTTAATAGAGTCAGAGCTGCTCCTACAGACACCAAGAATATATTACAGGAGATTAAATGAAAAGTTTAATGTATGTAGTCAGTATTCTGCCTCCAACAGTTTTCAGGTGTTTCTTACCTTTGTCTTCTGTTGCTTCAGGAGACCCAGCAGAGCCCGAGGCCCCTCAAAGCCCCCAGGGTCCCCCGATGATCAACAGCAGCTTGCTGGAGACCAGGATCCAAAACCTGAGAGAGTGAGTCTGAGAGGGGCTTTTACTGTGTAGTTTGTATAGTTCTGTATTGTATAGTCCTCTGCAGTGGGCCTAATTACTTCCTGTATCAGAAGTGAATGTAATGAGAACTCACATGTCCGGGTGTCAGGGCAGCATGATTGCATGCAGCTCACAGCGATGCTCCTGACTCACCAACACTGACTGTTCCCTCATTAACACAGTAACACAGTAACTGCCTGGACTATGCTGCTCGCCTGCTGCTGAAGTCGTTCAGAGCAACAGAACTGTACTGTTCACCCTCGGCACTTCCCATTCATTACAGCTGCTATGCTGAAGAGCGGGGCTCAGTAGAAACTGTTTATGTGCCAGAGACTTTTAAGTCTCTTATCATGTGGATGTTACTCCTGATTCCTGCTCACCTTATTGGGCCTCACTGCCACAGGTTAACTCATCTTCAGGTCATTTCCCCTTTCTGCTACTGATAACCTATAGAGATGGCTCCTGACTGACTGGGTGGAGTTACAACCAGCAGGGTCTCTGATCCATCAGCTGATTATTGTCCTGCTGATCTTGTTTATTCCCAGAATGTCAGACACTGGGAAAAAGTCCCACTGTGACTCTCCAGAGCCAAAGGTGGTGTTTTCATGTCTTGTTGTGTCCAACCAGCAGATTCACAGAGACTCAGCTGATTCTCATGTCTGACAAAGAAAAGCATCAGCTCCTCACATTAAAGAAGGTGGAACCAGAACATGTTGGTGACTGTTGCTTCTAAATAGTTTACAGTTAATTTTCTACTAGTGAGCTGACTCATGGCTGCAGCTCTAGGTCACTGAATGGCTTCATGAGGACGACACAGTGGGTTGGACACAGTGAGACAATCTGGTTTGGAAGGAGGATGTTTCCTCCCTCTGACAGAGGAGACCTGACGCTGGTCTGGAGACACAGCCCTGACTGGGCCCAGCTGGGCTCTGGGTGGTGGTTTGGCCTGTCAGCCGTACAGTACATAGAAGAGGTATATTTACTTTAGAAATAACACATGTAGCATCACGACAATTATCACAACAAGCGAAGTACAGACAGTGATTACTTGGTTACTAGTGTGTCCTGCTCTCTGTGGCATGACAGGTGCTCAGCTCTCAAATACATATAATGAGGGAGCATATCTGTGCTGCTTTAGCTTCAGCACTTTTGCAGTTTGTTAAAAAGAGAGATGAGCAACCATTACCTCATGCAGGGTGTAGAATCACACAGGCAAACGGCAGATACATAAACACACACACAACATCCTGTAAACACAGCAATGCCTCAAACCCACTATGGTTCATGTTAAAATTAAACAGTTCCTGAGAGAACCATGAATTCAGAAACACTGTAGAGGTGCCAGGTTTTTCTATCTGTTTGTCAGGAGAAGCAGAACATTTTTACAGCAAACTCGCTCCGCTGACTGGTTTTCATACAGTCGTCCTGGACCTTTACAGGAAGCAGCACTGCTGTCATAATATTTGTAGAGTACTGTTCCTCTGTACTCATATTTACAGTCATTTGATTTTAAAATTATTATTTCCTAACATAGATCATCTTTTTCTTATTGTTGTTTCTTTTTCTAAAATATGTAATACAACATTTAGATTTAGTATAAGTAGGGCTACAGCCTACAGTCTTTACTGTAAACACAGCGGACTTTAACTCTGACCCTGACTTTTCTTTGTGGTGACGTATCCCTGCAGATTCAAGCTCCGTCTCTGTGTGTGCCTCTGGGAAAGTCTAAATTGAAATAATCCAGTTATTACAGAGGAAAATCTTGCCTGAAGCTGCAGCGCCTCACTTTGTGGATCAGCACGTTATGAACCAGCCTGTGCAGATTAAACTGAAAGGAACCAGAGACAGTGAGAGACATACAAAGCAAACATCTTTCAATAGCATCTTTGTTAAATGTAACATGACAACAAACATTTGGAGAATTTGGAATCCAGTCTACAACACAAACATGGTGAAAGTGTGTACAGCTCGATGGAAAGTAGTAGAACCAACAGTCCCGTCTCCTCGTTACTCATCACCTGCACTAACAGGTGTGTTTCTGAGGCTGACAGGGTTGGACCACAGCAGGAGACCGCAGCTCAGCACTGGTGATGGAGCCACGTCTGTAAATACCTACAGCAGAAACAATACATGTGAGGCATCAACACAAACATCAGACTTTGAAGTACCTCACGGTATAAGTATATAAAGTAGTTAACATCAGCTCCACCTTTACCAGCTGCAGCATTAAAGTGATGAACAGTAATGCATCAGTCACTATGATCCAGTAGTATCAGAGATATTAATGTGAAATGGGCCGTTCTGCAGGATGAGTACTGTTTGTCACAACCACACACTCAGACTCAGGCTGGACCCAAAGGCAGGGAGCACATAGACCAGCAGTGATCACAGTTTTACTGACAGAACCGGGCAGGTACAGGAACAGAGTCGGTCAGCAGTCACATATACAGAGTACGTATGGAGATAAGTCATCCAGCACATCTCAAACATAGGTTTAATCCCCAAGAGGGGCCATAAACAGGTAAGAGTCCTTCTAACTTATTCTTAGCGAAGTACACAAAACCAAGTGAGTCTATAACTAAATCCTCTCCATGCCATTAACTGGTTACTCACAAACAGAACGAGACCATAACTTCATGGTCTTACTGCTACTTTTAGTGCAGTAAAGGATCCACCCCTGATGTGTAGGACTGTGCAGCACGCATGTGAATTCTTTTGCACGAGACGGAGTAATAAAAACCAGGGTCATAATACTGCTAACCGTGGTCCAGGTAGGCTACATTCACTGGCCAGATGGCAGAGGTTGATGAAATGGAGAAGCCGGTGCTCCCCACTTCGATTAGGGTCAGCTCGTCACCATGGCAACTGCATCAGGGACACACACACAGACACAGACATACAACTGCTCTGTGTGGGAATTAAAGCCTGTCAGCTCTGGCACAGCTCCTCATAACCCCGAGGAGGAGGAGGTCTGTGTTCACTTCTGCTCAGTTCCTTCGACTTCTGTCCCGTCAGTCACGCTGCTCTGAGAGCATTAGCCTTCTCTCTGGTGATCTGACAAAGAAAATCAGCCAGCACCTTAGTCCCTCAAGATGAGATTTCATCTTCTGTACACATTATTTTGTTGGCACAAGACTGACAGTCAGAAGAAACTCAGAGTTGACATGATGGAAACCTTTGTCTCATGAGGCTGCAGAATTTTTAACCTGCAGAGCTCAAATAGTTGCTGGTTAGACAGTGTTGATGGGTGAGGCCCAGAGTAAAGAGAAAAGGCTGGGTGTAAATGCATCGCAGAAGCATTTAGGATGGACTGAAATCCAGTCAATGCCGGCGAGCTTGTTGACACATTGAGCTTTACTTTCATGGCATATTTGATTTTGGCTGAGAGCACAGCACACCTGTGAGAAGTGCTTAATTCAGCGTGGTTAACAAGCTTCAGCAGGTGACTGGTTTTCTGATTGAATTGCTGTTCAGGCTTCATTAAACTCTTACACAGGTAGCACTGATGCTATCTGTGCTTGATGTGTGGTGGTACTGTGTTTCCAGTCCTCCTCAGTTTGTTCTGCTGGGAGAGATCCCGCCAGAGCAGAAACATCTGCGAGATGAAATGAAGAATCCGGAGAAATCAATATATCATCAGTTTTTGTTCTGTTGGTGCAGATAGAGAAAGTTTGATTTAAGCTCTGCAACTAATTTTCTCTCCTGTTAAGTTTGGTTTGTTTCAGAACTTCAGCTCTGTGGATTGAACCAGCTCAGTCTGACTCATGATGTGTTTGTGTCTGAACCTTTACACAGAGGATTTGAAACAAACTAGATGCAGTGACACTTTTTAATTTGGGCAATGCGATGCTAACTGTAAACTCAGGCAGGAACCACAGAGGTACCACGGAGACAGATGAGTTTCACACAGTCAGAATGTAAAATAATCAGTCACAGTCCTTATCTGGTGATTGATTATGTTAATGACCAAGTCTCAAGTTTGCTGAATCCAAACAAACTTTTGTATGAGCAAACCTCACAGAGGTCAGAGATGAAAATATGAATGAGGCCAGATGTGTAGATGCCACAACAGCTGATTACTCATAATTCAAATCAATGGAAACATGAACACCACAATGAGTATTCCTGCCAACTCGCTCCTGCATCTACAGTAAACCACCTTCTTCTGGAAGAGAAGAGGAGGATGTTGGTCGGTGACCTGAGAGCTGCTGTCTGTCACAGTGAAGGAGCAGAAAACCACCAGTTTGCTGACAGGAGCCAAAACACAGTCACTCACTGGTGACAGACCGAGATAAACAGGAAGGAATTGGAAAGTGTCCTGAGCTCCACCCTGTCAGCCTCAGCACCTCCCCGAGGAGGAGGAAGGAGGAGGCAGCAAGATAGAGTAAACGCTGCTGAATATCTGAACGTGTTACACATCTCTGGAGGTTCTCAGTCATCCAGGTCAGGGTGTTTGGACTGGAAGCTCATCTCATCCAGGTCAGGGTGTTTGGACTGGACTGTTTGAGGTTCTCGGAGACATTTCACCTCTCATTCAAGAAGCTTCTCTGGCTCTTCTTTAGTTTAGGGTGATAACTGAATGACCCCCCTGTGCCTGTCTCCCTGTAGGTCTGTCTGCCATCGCCTCGGGCCGGACGTTTTCCAGAAGCTGTATGAGAACCTGAAGGAGGCCAGGCAGCAGCAGGACGCTGAGGACGGCATCGCACAAGAAGCTCTCAGTTGTCTGGAAGAGAAACCTGATGTTGGTTTCCAGATGCACCAGCTGCTGTTTTATGAGGAAGAGCTGCAGTTAGTGAGGCGGCTGCAGGAGGACAGGCCAACTGTCTGACTGTCTCTATGAGAATCATGATTTAAATAACAGACTGTATGAAGAACGACATTTGTTACTCTCCAGGTAACCTGTGAGCTGTAGTATCAGTTCGACATATAAAAATAGAAAAGAGTTTGTGTGGACTGCAGTTTATTTACACGTATGTATGAAAGTGGAAACGCAGCCAAACAGCAGATGCTTTTGTCTGAATCAGCTCCAGTTACAGTTTTTGACACAGATGTGAAGCAGGATCTGTGATCAGACTCCTGACAGCTTCCTGGTGAGCTGCCCTGTTTGTGTTGTGGCTCCCAGCAAGCAGCATTTCACCAGACCGCAGCCTCGCTGGATCATGGTCTTTGTTTCATCTGATGTTCTGGACAAATCCAGTAGTTTCCCAGTGAAACCTTCAGCCAGTCTGTTGGATCATCAGGTCAGCTGAGCTGTTCTCTGTTGCTTTACCTCTGCTGTCCCAATACATAGTTCTGTCCACCTCTACGGTGGCTCCCAAGGACAAAGCATGCAAAGTCAAAGCACAAACATTAAGGAAATATGCTGCATGTGTTTCTGCACCTTTCCTTAATGTCTGCGGATACATATCTGTGGACTAGTGTGACACTATAGGACTGTGTCTTCTGTCACACGTGCACAGGCTAAACAACACAGGAAGACATTAGTCTGGTCTAATCCAGGATGATGTCCAGTCAGGGCTCACGACTGCACCTGGAGCTGGAACACTGCAGTTACATAGCAGGGTAACCCTTTTACTGTCGGCTGTTGTCACCTGGTTCCTGGTGTCTTTACCTTCATCTGTCCTTTATTTACAAACCAACTTTTCACCAGTAGTGCATAAAAAGTCTGTTTATTTTCACTGTCCGCTAATATTCACTTGTTTTCCAGGACTGCTGTGTGAATATTTAGCTGTTAAACAACTGTCACACAACATCACCATGATCAAAATTTAATTAGAGGTAAGGCATTAAATGTTAGAGACCTCTCTGCTGTAATGAGTTGTTTTTTTTAGCATTTTATAAGTGTGAACAAGACACGTGTGATATGTAGCTGAGAAAATAAAAAGAGGTCTGAGAGGATTTACTCTAATCAACTAAGGATTATTCCAGGAAGCAAGTACGACTCTTCAAGGTGTGAAGCTTATCTGGCTGCAGCAGAGGATCCATGTTCAGCCAGAGACACAGTCACAGGACCACGTCTGTTGTTTTTTTTTAACCCTGGAGCTCAGTGTCTTGTACGGCTCCAGGCGTTTATTGAATCATCAGACTAACCTCTCATCCCAGCAAACCCTCTGTTTGTTCATGAAGCCTGAGGCTGACAGGTGGGCTGCTGCGGCGTCGCTGATGGTTGGTCCACCGTCCCAGACTGAGCCTGAAGGCGAGGCAGCCGGCCTGTGTTCCACCTGTCACCTCGAGTCGTGATCACACAAACTTGTTACATGTGTGACTGTAAAGAGACCCTGATTCATTTGTTTGGACATTTGTTTCCCCCACTGGAAGACATACACGGGTTAATCAGAGAGCAGGGATGACTTCTTTCTACAGGAGGGCCCAAGTGAAGACCTGTCTCCCGGGTGTGCCAGCCAGTGGGAGGACAGCAGGGCCCCCCGCAGACCAGGCATGTCACCTACTTCACCATGTGCTAAAAGGCTACAGATCAAACCCATGTGAGAAAGCCACAGAAACTGGAACCTTCGTTTACCTGTGTTAGTCTTCATTAACGTTGTAGCCAGCCGTGCTGCATAAGGTGGAACCAAAGACACATCAGCTGAGTGGGAATCAGTGTGTTTGGTGTGAAGCTAAGTCATGTTGGCTTAGAAATAACTTTTAAACCAAGCTTTTTATCTGTTTATCTCCTTACACTGTTGAAACAGCCTCATTAGAGAAAAACAATGTAAGAAGTTTAGAGAACTTGAGACCTCACCTGCTAGGCGGCTTGAATCCTTTTGTTTTACATCATAAACATCCTTTTTCTCTTCTCTCGGAAACAATTACACTTCATAACTTCCTGTGTTCTTTCTGTCGGAGCTCAGCAGGGAATTGAAGCAACACTTTCCGTCAGAACTTTCCTCTTCTCACATAAAAACATTTTTACGTCGTCAGGTCTGTGGGGAGGTGGCGCTCTGTCATGGCTCAGTGGAGCTCAGCGGGCAGAGAGAAGCTCCAGCCCTGCCCGAGGTTGGAGTGTTAAGCCCACTGGGAGCAGGTCTGGATGAGAGATTCAGCTGAACAGCAGATGTTTCTGGTTTATACAGCAGAAAAGCGGGGAAACATCCAGGAGGTAAAGCGGCTCCCAGTTTGGACAGTGATCCACGCACAGCACAAATTACAAGCTGAAAGGAACAAAGTCACATCATAAACACAAACTATGTGCTTGTCTAGAGCATTTTCATCCATCAGCCATGTTCAGGGCAGGCTCGTTCTCACCCAGCAGGAGCAACAGCAGAGGTTTGTATGTGCGCCAACTGATACACTGTGCTGTTAGCATCCTTCATTACCTTTTGGGTAACGTGGCTTTGAAGCTTTGTCTTTGTCTCTGTGTAGCTCACCCTACACTTACCTGAACAGGTGGAGGGTGAGGCTGATGTGAGGCTCTCTCAGCCGGCAGCTTGTTTGTAAGGGGTTTCTTCTTTTTGCTTCAGTTCAAGTTGTTTTGGCTCATTTTCACCTCTCTTCAGTCAAGATCTCTGCTAATTAATGCCACCACCACCCATTTTGTGCATGCACTCGTGCCATCTGAGCTGCTGCTTTTTTTTACTGTAAAACCTCCCCGGTGCCACAGCATCATCTCCCTCGATATGGGGCAGTGGCCCGACAGCTGGTTTGAAATGTGCTGTAGTCTGTGTCCATCAAACAGAAGCAGAAACTCCAGAGCTCAGTGTTTAAGGAGAATCACAAGCTGCTGAATTTAGTTTCCAGGATCAGTCTTAATAAAACATACTTTCCAGGTTCAGGAATATATTTGACACACTCAACAGACACTGAAACTTGCACTTTATTTTAAGAAACCTACTATATGTCAGAGCAGAGGGGCTGCTGCTCCTTGTCTGAACCCAGTCATCTCCAGGCATTGTGATGCAGCTGAGCTGTTCCAGTAATAATCAGTGCACACACACACACACACACACACACATAGAGCTGGCAGCAGCATCAGCTGCTCCTCTGGTGTCTCTGTGTGCTCACTCCCATTCAATTGTTTATTCTTCTATTGTTCAGGCTTTGAATGGAGGAGGGATGGTTGGTGTCAAACCCAGGAAAACAGTTGAGGAAACAGTTGCTTCAGCTGAAGCCTCAGTCACACCAGCAAGATCCATTCATTTCAGAGGAGTCACTAAATCTGCACTGATGTTTAAACACTGATGTAGTAGGCCAACAACAAACTGTCCTGACGGAGCTGAGCCCGGAGTGATTATTATTTGTGTTACCATCTGAAGCAACATTCAGTTCAGTTTTATTTGTATAGCGCCAAATCACAACAACAGTCACGGCATTTTACATAATCAGGTCTAGACCTCACAGAATTATAAAGAAAACCCAACAAACCCCCCTTGAGCAGCACTTGGTGACAGCGGGGAGGAAAAAGTCCCCTTAACAAACCCTGGCTCTCGGTGAGCGGCCTTCAGCAATTCTCGCAGTTTACCAGTCTGACCTCAGCAGATCTCTCCTCTTACTTCTACATAAGAGAGTGAGTGCACACTCAGCTGTCATGACGTGCACTGGTGTCAAACTCCAGGTTTACAGTTTGTGTATCCTCAGACATCTCTGGACGTTTGCAGGCGAGTTACAGTTAAAAGATTAACTTTGACTGATATGAGGCATCTGTGTGTTTCCAGGCAGACTCCCAGTCAGTGATGCTAGTGTGACTGGGAAGCTACAGGACATTATTTAGACATGAGACGGCCCTGGGAACTTTCCAGATGTAAAAGCCAGTTGTTGTTCTTCTGCAGATACAAGATTAGTACTATACTGTACTGTACTTACATTGAGTAGCACACACCACTGTCTGTCATCGTCTCACTGATGCTGAGACAGTAAAGTTAAACTTCTTATGCTTATTACATTGTGATGTCAAAGTATTAGAACAAATACATCTTTAACTTTCTGTGAGACAACAATAGAGTTTTATAAGTTGCAGTGAAGCGCCGGTGAAAGCCCAGATTGCTGGGTTTCCTGTGGAGTTCTGGCCTCGTTAGCTTCTCTCTGTCCGTCTGTGTTGATTGGTGATTGTGGCCAGCTGTGCTGTTCTGGGTCTCGGCCGCTCCGACTCAGCTTTGCTGCAGAGCTTCTGTTAAACTGTTCATGCTACACATCTGCAGTAAACCTTCCTCCATTTGTGATCTACATGACGACGCCTGGTCATGTAGCACTGGACTCACAGTCGCCTTCAGGCTATGACAAACCTCTATTTGTCCTGCGGTGGTGAGAGGACTTGGTTTAAATCTTCAGATGAGTCAGACATTAACTGGCCTCTTTAGACTCAATGAGGTCAGCAGACAAAAGCTGACTAAATATCACCTCTGACATTTCATTCCACTACATTTAATGTAATATCACCTCTGACATTTCATTCCACTATATTTAATGTATTTTTTTTTTACTTCAATAAATGTATTTTCAGTAGAAACATTGTTCGAAGTACAGACAGTTAAACGCTGAGTCAGCAGCCCCACTGCCCCTTCAGTGCAGGATTTTTGCACCAGGCTGTTCCTGTTTTCAGGTTTTTCTTCGAACAGTCACACTCTTTTTGTTTGGACTGTTAAGTGTTATATGTGTGTTTTTGACTGCCGCTGGTGATGCTACTGTCCTC